GTCCCTCCTTTCTATCTTAAAGGAGCACAAACATGTATTCCTGACACTATAATGTTAAAGTAACTATTTAAGTTTCTAGTCCCCCTTGCATCATATGGGAAAGGTGTTTTACTCAGCTTTTTTTTATCATGCTGTGCTGGTCTTGTCACAACTTGATAATTTCATCCAATCCAATGCTTTCTCATAGAAAATAATTTGGAGGCTATTGTGGATGTGAGGCAAAATGCTGCGTCAATCATGTCCTTATAAAGATGCATTAAATCAATGCAGTGCATGGAGATGCTGAACGCCAATGCTGCACAATGTGCAGCATTGGACTAGGAAGCACATCTAGTGGCCGTCTGTGTGACTGCCACTAGAGGTGAACTAGCCAGCAATGTAAACACTGCCTTTTTTTCTGAAAAGGCAATGTTTACATTAAAAAGCCTACATTAAGCTCAAGTGGTTCTGGGGACTAAAGTGTCCCTTTTCCTGTCCCTCTTTTGTAGCAACTTAGTATTCTTGGTATGTCTGAGTGTATAACAGAGTTTCAAAGCATTAATATTCACAGTGATGTATCTTTAAACTACAATACATGTATTTACAAATCAGTCGTTGTGAATAGGATAAATTACATTTAAGTTGCATAGATTATTATTAGTAAATCATTTCTAAAATTTCTCAGAACAGCCTCGTCCCTGACCACACCCCACTCACCCCCCTTAATATGTGCACATGTTTAGCATGTTATTTCCTGATCGCCTGATCAAGAGATATCTACTGACTGATTACTAGATATATTTTTGTCTACAAATTTGCAGGGTTTTTCTTTAAAAAGGAAGTGGTGTAGTGCTTCTTCGGAGAGCAAGGACACAGGAAGACATTTCCCCATGACCTCCAGTATTGTTAGAAAAACTCATATATGCACCTTCTAGCCTGGAGCGTTCAACCTGTATTTTGTATAGTGTGGTAGGAACTTTCCTGAAAGTAGTTTAATTTTTTATATTTTTATTTTTTAAAACTGATTGAGGGTGGCATGAGTCTTATCTGTGCAGCCAAAATGGAATGACTTTCTAGTAGTTTTTCATTGAATACTGCCACAAACTCTCACAACTATTAACTCATTAATCACAGTGAATCTCATTCTCTTTATCTTCATCTATTATTGTCAGAAATGTCTCAGGTATTAGAAAAAAAACATGAAAAGACAAACAAGGCGCAAACACACAGGAAAAAAATGCATTCAGATATGTAAGATAGAGGTACACAGAGAAACACAAAGTGGGAGCCAAAGAGCGCAAGCTAGTAAGGAAACATTCTGCAGAGTAAGATGCAGAGACAAACCATGACATATTAAAAGCATGCAGACAGATCTGAAGAAGAAAAGCAATGACTGGCAGTCTTGGAGCTGTAAAACGTTTCTAATGGCAGCGACAGCTTTATTCCTTAAAAAAAAAAAAAATGGAAGGTCATCAAAAAGAGTAAAACCAAAACGCTATGACTTGACAAAAAATGTCTTATAAATTTAAGATGTACCAAAGTATAACCTTATCCTTTATCAATATGTTTTTGTTTTTTTATATAGAGGAATGATTTTGCTTTAGGAATCTATGAAAAAATATTGATAACACAACTTACAGAAATTCACGTTTTTCACAGATGTTGAAATTTGGAATTTAAAAATTCAATATTTTATGTACTGGATATCTGCATGGGATGCAAATACCAAAATGTCTCTTGTTCTCTTTTTCTTTATGAGTTTACACTTGTCACTAGTAATATAGTGATTAATATTTTTATGATATGACTATATATATGTACCTCCATATTTTTATATTTTTATAAAAGAGGAAAAGAAGAATTTTGCCCCTCCCCCCATGTGGTTATCTTGTAAATACAATGTTTCATTTTTAAATGCTCATTTTTTTACCATGTCTAAAAAAAGTCAGTATGTATATATATGGTAATAAAAAATGCCATGTAATTGTTTAACTTCTTCATGATTTTTCCAGGCTATTGTAACATTTTAAAAGAAATTTGTTAATCGGTAAGACTGTATAATAATGAATGCATGGTTTTATTATATAACATGTATCTAGATAATATGAATATTGCATTTATCTTAAAATGTAGTAATCCAGTAGAACAGAAATAATAGAATTTGCTGGCTTCCATCAACAGCCATTTGTTTTTGCCTTGGGTGTAGTCATAGAAACTCTGCAAAAATCTGTCTTCCGTGTGATGATTTTCCGCTCAGTTTTCGAGTCCTGCTGTTGGAAGAGGATATCTAGAGCATCTGGAGCGTGCTGTGAAAGGGCGAAACGTGGTGTCAGCAAAAAATCGAAATACCATAGTAAAAACGTATTCAACAATTTTCACTGCCTCGTCTTCATCTTCCTGGCAGGGCGACAATCTATGCAGCTCTAAACAGAATCAAGACAGCTTGATTTCACAGTCACACTACGACATATCAGAGTAAAAAAAGAAAGAACAAGTTTTTTTTTTTTTTATTAGAGCGTGTCCTAATTTTAAACTAAGACAAAGAAGCAGACTCATGCTTCTGAAGAATCTGCTATGTCAAAGTGGAGAAGAGTTAGAATAAGCTATATTAACAGTCAACAGCTTCACAGCTAAATCCATGTGCACTAGTTTGGAAAGTGTTTATGTCGTAACACCTTAAAATATACACATGTTGCCATTTTATATTGGTACTTTATATTCCTAGATCATGAGTATTACTTTCTTAGTGTACTAGATAACAGGTATTTACTTGTACGTATTAAAAGTGATATGAAAATGAAACACTTCGTTGATGTGTAAATAAGATGCCTGGCTTCACATTTACAGAAGAGTTTTACGTATAATTTGTCATATCTTTCAGACAATATTTTATAACTGTTCTTACAGTTTAGTCCCTGTGGTTAGGTATGAAATAAACAGACTAAAATAAAAAGAACATTTAAATATTGTGTTTTCTGACACACATCTCAAAATATAGCTTTTTTTTTTTAAGTAGGTATTTCATGTTTTGTACGAATTGCTTTAAGGACAATATTAAACCTTTGACCTACCCTTACCCTTAAAACCAGCACTAAAAATGCAGCAATATGTACATTCATCATAAACAGTGTTAGAGCAGCATAGCCGAGATACAGAAATTAAAGTACAACAGAAAGCTGTATTCAACTTTATTCACACAGCTAGAGACTTCGATGGTACAAGTTATGTATAGACGAACATGCTTTTAAAAGTACTAAAATAGGTTGTGAAACACGCTTATGTTGCCTAGATGTAGTATAGAGTAGATAATTAGTGAAACATGCTTAACTATGCGTAGGTTAACTATATTAGCTTAACTCACTGGCATTACATTCCCTGAGACTAGCAAAACACGAGAGTGATACTGCATTGCAATAATTAGTAAATATAATAATGAGAAACTAAAAAAAGAACATAAGAGAAAACAAAAGGCTGTATTGGTGTTTGCAGATGTCGGCTTAGGAGGCTGCTTAGGGAACTGGATGGTGTACGTTTTTGGCAAAGGAGGGCTCTGAACAGGAACTACAGAGATCTTCCTGTATATGAGCTTCCATTCAGCCTATACCCAGCACGGGAAAAAGCATTGAAAACGCATGGCAGTCGAGGAGGATGTCATGATGGAGGATGTGAGGCAATGACTTCTTCCAGACCCAGGACTGTGTTTGGGCCGGCATCTTGTGACCACTGACTTGGAGTCTCTGTGAGTTCAAGTCCTTTAGGGGTTGACAGGAGACCTTGATGGAGTGTAGCTGCCTGCGGCAGTCTGCTTTCTGTCTGCATGGATGATGCTTTGGGGGGCAGCCCCTAATGGCCGTCAGCTTAGGTGGGCAAGAATTGATGGGCAATGGTAGCTGTGTGCTTGTTATGCCTCAAGGGACTCACCTCCCGGATGCTGCTTATCTGGTTGTCATCTTGTGTGGTAGACCGTGCAGCACACTTTTCCAGGGAGTCCCAGAATTGAGTAAATATTGCCTCTAGCTTGTCTAGAGATTGTTTCAACATTCTGGGACAGTCTTGCCCGTGCTGGTTAAAAGTGTGCTGGTGGGATATGGGCACAACCGCCACCTTGACTCTCGTGTTGTGTCCTTCGTGCAGACTTCCCCAGGTCTTAGGCGAGTAGGAAGGATGAGCCAGTGGGGACCGGGATAACCCCCACTGGTCTAAAGGGGGGGGATCAGATCTGCTGGTTATCGCCTCGAGGGCCAAGCCTGTGTAGTACAGGAGATCGGACACCTCTCACGCCAGTTCACAGCACCAGGCCACGCTGGAAATCCCCAGAAACGTGTAGAGGGGAGTCCTCTAAAGGTACCCCGAGGCCCCTCGGCAGGCTCCCAAAGCAGGTAAGCAGCTTTAAAAGTCAGCTGTGCAGCAGCTTAATCATGAGATCAGGTCGGGAGCTTTCAACAAGCACGACTAGCCACCATGCAGCTCAGGCCCCCGTCCATATAAATGCATTTAGTGGTATCTTGCCCATTACTCTATAGTTTCCATCCCTCTAGATATACCAAGAATTAAGATATAACCTCAATGGAGAGGGCCTTAAAGAATTAAATTAGTCCATGCAGATCAAAATTCACAAATAGTAATAAATATCTGGCTTGCACATTACTTTAATGTTTTCTGGTTGCAGAGACTGAAACTTTCTTTATCAATTACAAATATTGGAGATAGCATGATATGTAAGGATACTATGCAGAAAGAACCTTAAGGGGACACTCCACTACCCAAATAAAAAAATAAATAAAAAAAATCAATCAATATTTAGTAGATATACCACAATAAAAACATGCAAGAAATTATTATGCATTTTTCTTCATTAGGAATATATCTTGAAACAGCTTGCAAAAGCTGCATATTTCTTGTCTACAGACTTTACAAGCCCTGCCCTTCTAACCCTGCAATAATTTCCGTGGCTTGCAAAAAAGTAATAATAGTCCAGGCACTCAAGTTCAATCCAGTGGGCAGATTTATTAGAGCAAAATCGAAACAACGCTTCCGTCCACAACAGCGCCTTTGTCAAGCTCTAGACAAAGGTCCTGTTGTGGACTGAAACGTTGTTTCAGAAAGTAACAGGACCAGTAACAGGACAAACTTTCAGAAAGTAACAGTACCGGTTGTCTGATTGACATCCATAGGGGTGTAACAAGGCTGATGTAGAAAAGTATACATTTTTACCAAAATCTGAATGTTTTGTAGAATGAAAAAAGAGGATACACTTTTCACAAATAAAGAAATTCAGTGTTCCTTTAATTCTGAGTGTACTAAGGTGTGAATTGCTGAGAATACAAAGGCCAACATAGCAAATTAGGAAACTTTCCAAGCAATCTATATACTACAACACTACATAACTATAACACTATATAACTATAACACTATATAACTAAAAGCTATATTATATAACTATAACACTACATAACTATAACACTATATAACTATAATGCTTTAATATATAACTATAACACTATATAACTATAACACTATATAACTATAATGCTATATTATATAACACTATATAACTATAACACTATATAACTAAAACGCTATATTATATAACTATAACGCTATATAACTATAACACTACATAACTATAACGCTATATTATATAACACTATATAACTATAACACTATATAATTATAACGCTATATTATATAACACTATATAACTATAACACTATATAACTAAAACGATATATTATATAACTATAACAATATGTAACTATAACGCTATATTATATAACTATAATGCTATATAACTATAACACTATATCACTAAAAAAGCTAAAATTTCTGGGGAAATTGTGTGAAGTGTTCTTGCCTCCACCAGTAGTCTACAACTGGAGTGGGCAGAGTAACTGTTATTATTTATTTATATAGCACATTTAATTGCAACATTGTTGCCCAAAGTGCTTCACAGTTACATTAAAACATACATTTATAAAAACATTAGCAGGTGTACAAAAAGCCCTGTCTATGACATCACTTGCTGCTCCATCCTGGCACAGGTCAGAGTATTTTGGCGGTTGCCATCTTCAAACGGTCGTATTTTAAAAACTATAAATCCTACAGCGAAGAGCTTTATATTGTGAGAATCACAAGACACAGACCTACATTTTGATGCATAGTATGTCTCTGAAGTATTAAAAATGAAGGTACAGTCGCAGTTTAGAAATTGCACTTCAAATTTGAGCTTTGTAGAGTAAAGTTTCAATGAATGTCAATGGACGGTGTTAGTTGCAAACAAATGATTATATTGTGAAAACTATCAGGACTATGGCTTAGCCGTTGACATGTTTAGTGGCAGCAGGGATAGCTGAACGTTTTGATATAAGATTTGTGTAGGTGGGCCTGAAAATAAGGGAGTGGTGGCAGTTTAGAAATCATGTCCTGATTTTTCAGCTTTTGCCAGCTCCCACTCTAGCTTTGTCATTCATTCCTATGGGACAAATTGCGCCACAAGAACGACGATATTCCGTGAACCGTTCGGCGAAACGTTCCACAAAGTAATAGCAATCCGATCGGGAACAATCTGCACATTTTGGTAAATTTTTGTCTATGTAGTGTAAAAACTGTGGGAGGAGTTAGGGTGGCAAATTTGGCTATAATAAGAATAATAATATATATATGTGAGATAACAATAAGTGGTCTTGCTATGCAAGAACCCTTAATAATAATATATATGTGAGATAACAATAAGTGGTCTTGCTATGCAAGAACACTTAATAATATATATGTGAGATAACATTAAGTGGTCTTGCTACGCAAGAACACTTAATAAGAATAATATATGTGAGATAACATTAAGTGGTCTTGCTCTGCAAGAACACTTAATAATAATAATATATATATGTGAGATAACATTAAGTGGTCTTGCTATGCAAGAACACTTAATAATAATATATATATGAGATAACATTAAGTGGTCTTGCTATGCAAGAACACTTAATAATATATATATGAGATAACATTAAGTGGTCTTGCTATGCAAGAACACTTAATATATATGTGAGATAACATTAAGTGTTCTTGCTATGTAAGAACACTTAACTATAACACTATATAACTATAATAAGAACACTTAATAAGAATAATATATATGTGAGATAACATTAAGTGGTCTTGCTATGCAAGAACACTTAATAATAATAATATATATATATGTGAGATAACATTAAGTGGTCTTGCTATGCAAGAACACTTAATAATATATATGTGAGATAACATTAAGTGGTCTTGCTATGCAAGAACACTTAATATATATGTGAGATAACATTAAGTGTTCTTGCTATGCAAGAACACTTAACTATAACACTATATAACTATAATGTTATATAACTATAATGCTATATTGTATAACTATAACACTATATAATTATAACACTATATAACTAAAAAGCTATATTATATAACTATAACACTATATAACTATAACGCTATATTATATAACACTAAATAACTATAACACTATATAACTATAACACTATGTAACTATAATGCTTTATTATATAACGATAACACTATACAAACATAACGCAATATTCTAGAACTATAACATTATCACATTTTTTTCAGTTCATCATAAAATGTGTATTTTTTGTAATTAGAAATTCACCATCTACTGAAATGCTTGTTGGAACGTGTCATTTATTTTTTAATCGCATTTTAAAGTGCTTAAAAATAGTAATGTGGCTAAAAATATAGACTAAAACATATGGATTATACACAAAAGTCTTCCTTTTAATTAACAACAACGAAGATCTGAAAATGGTATAGTAAAGTAGTTAGATATTAAATTAAACTTGGGAAAAATTGCTTCCTGATTGCCTGCATTAATATTACTATGATGGTTATCTCAAGATACAGTTTTTTATAGAGACAAATAGCTTGTTTGATTAATGCATCGCATGTTTCATGGAAGGATTGTGCTTAAATTTAGCTATTCAAAAGAATTAGTTTTTTTATCCATTTATGAAATCTTAAAAAGCAAGTTTTACAACGATAAGCCTATCTTAAAATGTTGCTCTCTGATAAACCTATACATCAATCAAAAGAATATGAGTTGTTTACTTTTTCAGTTTCAGCAGTTTTGACTTTTAAACATTTGAAAAGTGAGTAAATTCAAAGAGAATTTCCAATTTAAGATCAAAGTAGCCAAACTGAAAGCTTTTTATAACGTAGAGAATTTTTGCAGTTTGGTTATTTTGACCTTAAATTTAAAATTCACTTTGAATTCACCGTGAGTTCTTACTTTAGTGAATATTTCTGTACAATAGTCTTTCATCTCTCTGTCTTACACAGTTGCCATGAATCCCACTGAAACCATCACTGCCATCATGCCAAGTATCTGTGAGCACTGTAGCCTGGATTCCCTCACTATCATTTGCCAAGTGGACCACAAAGTGGACCACAAACTTGGTCATGGTCCCTCACTGCTAGTCATCACTGAAACAGCCCCAGGCCATTAGTCCTTATCCACCAAATATTACTTTTTTTCAATGTATAATTTTTATTGTAGCATAGCAGTGTAGACAGGTGGTCATTACAGTTACAGTCTGCTACAGTTTAAATGCAACATATGTGTACAGTACGACATAGATCATGTTAGTATAAGACCTGCAAAATAGCATAGGTTCTGTATTATCATACATACAATTATAAGCTCGAAGTTGCATGTTAATGTTAGTAAGAATCATCAATTGCTTATTGGAATCAGCTTTTATTTGTGAGCTGGTTGGGAGATATATATTATGGTACATATATAGTACCATATCGGATACATATTCTATTACACATATAGTAACATATCACCTGTAGTAACAAAGTTGTCGAAATATTGTAATTGGGAAACAATAATCATAAAGCGATGACATAAAGGAAAGAAAACTACAACATACATTCTTGTGCATATTGCAAAAGTAAGTCATCTGAATATTCAGGTTGTCGGTTGAGTAGAGTTCCGTGAGCCTGCATCACGACTTGATCTTGGGAAGAAAGATTGGATTCTCTTAACCTCCCATAGCCTGGATAAAGTAGATGGTGCTGGTTCTGCAGAGATTCTGTTGCTTGCAGTGGCCTGCATAGCTGTAAATAACTTCTCAGAGTCCTTGGCATGTGAGATATGCAATAGCTGTCGTCCTGGACCCCATCGATACTGTATGCCCTTGGTCTGCAGGAGCAGGGTTACTGCTTTCATGGAGTGTCGCCAAGTTACAGTCGCTCTAGATAAGTCCATGTAGAAGGACAAATCAGCTCCCTTAAACTTGTATGTGGTTGCTTTGCGGGCTGCTTCTTGCACCAACTGCTTGCTTTGGAGTAATTGAAATCAAATGAGCAAGTCCCTTGGGGCTTCTGCTGGGGTTCTAGGAGGTTTAGGGATTTGGAAGTGGTTCTCCAGCACGATGGTTTTGCTTTGGCTGGTAGTAGGAGTAAAACCATCAATCTCCGGAAGTAGTGTGGTATCTCTGGGTCCTGTACCTCCTCTTAAACCCCTCTGATCCTGAGGTTGCGCTGGTGTTTAGAATTTTCCAAAGCCGCCACTTTGTTTTCCATATTTGTGTTTACCTGTTTAAGTCGGGCCATATCCCTCTGAAGGGCCTCGAGTTTGTCTGCTGTAGCCACTTCTCGTACCTCCACGGCCTGTATGCGGGCCTTCATTGCGCCCAAATCTTCCCTGATTAGGGCAACGTCAGCTGCAGATTGAGCCTTAAACTCTTTGAGCAAGTTACAAACAGCAAAGGTTAAAAACAATTGGATATGAGTGGATTGGCGCTATTGAATTGTGAGCGATGCAGCAACCCTAGTGTCTATAATAACTCAGAAGACACTATATAAAGTGCAAAAACAAGTACAAAGTACAGGGTGAGTAATTAAAATCACCTTACAATTTGTCTCTGGTTATCTGTAAAATATAAAACTGTACATAGTGTAATACTGTATATATACAGATATTTAAGTACACAGAGGTAATGGGTCACTCACTCTTCCCAGAGCCACGTATAGTAGACTCTGGTTGTGATGGCTTATCAACAGATAAGGTTGCTGGAATGAATCCTGGAATTCTGTTACTCCCAAATATTCTGTTTTTTCTCAAATGGATTTACTTCAATAAAGTGTTTGCTGCAATATCCTGTATTCTGCACTTTATTGAAGAAAATCCATTTGAGAAAAACCTTCAAGTTTCCAAAATATTTGGAAGACAAACCAAAGACAAAGTGTAAGGTCCTCCTTGATATAAGTATATCACATTGTGGGGTGGTGTTTTAAATTGCAAACCCTGTACTTTATACTTGTTTTTGCTCTTGGAGCAAGTTGATGATGTTGGCTTTGCTCGCCAGCATTAGTTCTGAAAGTGGAGTACAAGCCATTTGGGTGAGCACTTCATTTGCAGGTGCCACAGCAGTCTCACCCTCACTTTCATCCGAAGAGTAGTCAGATGCTTCCGTTGTGGGCGCCATCTTGGTAGGCCTTGGGCAGCGGTGTTACTCTGAACAAGTCACCAATATTTTTAGATGCCGGCGTCGTCTCACTCTTTAAGTGCTTGGATTTGCATCCCATTTTACTTGGACAAGTGTTGGAGGTAAGTGAGACTTCCAATTCTGTTTGTAAGGTGATTTTTCAGCGAATTTCTCCTGGAGCTCAGTGATGACACGTCTGTTTGAGTTGAACACTCCAAATATGACTTTTGACATTGTGTGGGCAGTTGGCTTTTTTCTACTGGAATCCACCAAAGATATGTATTGGTTAAATACAAATTACAATTATGCATAAATAGATAAACAATAAAAAAATAGTCTTCATAAATTTCTCAGTTTTGCAGACAATTTCTTAGAAAGTCTTATCATACCATGGAACTCTGCAGAAACTGGGACTTACTCCCCCATACATATTTATAGGAACAGAAGTAAGCACAGAATGTCACTGTTTATTAAACATGCTAAAACAATGTTGACAGTAATGAATGCAATGCAGTGCATTGTATTGAAAAAGACAGACATTAGCTCAAAAGAGAACAAAGACTTGCAACAAAGTCAGAATGATAGAAGGAACAGGAAGCTGTACTTTATTTTAAACGTATATAAAAAGTTGCTACAGCTCCACATCCTGTCCAGCCTCTCCAACTCACTCGCTATATATGGTGTACAATATTGCTACATTAATCATCATTCTCTGATTTTCAGAGAGTTCTGTAGTTACTAATTGGGTTTGATGTGTAGATACAAGCTTTCCATCCAGCCATGGTAAAGAACCATATGCTGCTTGAAGCCTTTTCACAATGTGTGGGGAGTTTGCTGTATGGCCTTTGATGGTATCTGTTTCACAAATAAATAACTATATAATATATTTTTCCCCTCCCTCTCTCCATCCATCCCACCCTCCCTACATCTATCTGTCCCTCCCTCTCTTCCTTCCTGCCTTCCTGACTCTATGCTGAAGAGCTTAGTGACAAGTGACTGTGTGTCTCCTCTCCATGTGTAGCAACTACTGAGCATATGCAGTGGTTGCTAGGGTAACTCCTTATACTCTTGACTCCCTAGCTAAGGAGTACAGGAACATCATGACAAATGTCAAGCTTTACAGATGGCGGCATCAGAGCAATGAAGCTAGCATGTTTGTATCACAGAGGAGGTGTCCCCGGAATAAGTAAGAGCCCCAAAGTAGGATAAATCAGTGAAGACTGTGGGATGAGTGTAATACCCAACTCTGTGAGAACAAGATGTGGATGGCAAGGTAAACCCCTGACATATTCCCTTTAAGTCCCCATGGAACATGTAGATTTGTACTCACAATGCCAATGAATCTCATGCACGTCAATGTTCCTTCCTTGATGATTTATCCTACTTTGGGGCTCTTACTTATTCCGGGGACACCTCCTCTGTGGGCTAGAACCCACAAACTTAATGATCGATGATGTCGGAAAATCCCAATAAAAGATGAGAATAAAATTCCACCATCCAGTCCAACGCATTTCTTCCAACCTTCGGACTTCCTCTGTGATCAAAATGCAATAAAAAACATTTAAACAAATTAAACAAGTACTTCATTCTCCCTACCAACTCAGTGAGTGTAATCTAAGCTTGAGTTATGCGGTCCATTTGGCAATATTAAGCTGTTTATTTATTTATTTTATAGAGTCTCAGATGTATCACCACTCTGTATATTATATTATGAGCATATGCATTGACACAATATACATATATACATATGTTAATGCCACTTAGAAAATTAGAAAACCAGTTGAATGTGTATTATGAAACTGTTTCTATTTAATTAGCTCTCCCTTTCCATCTGACTTAAAAACAGGAACTGCTTTTTGATGTTCACTTTACAGATTATAAACTTCTATCAATTTATTTTCACAGACTGCTTCAGAGTTACATAATTAAGTAGTGAAAGCAGCTAGTAAATGCTGAGAAGTTTCTAATCTGCACCAAACTGCCATTGGACAGTGAATTAATTTTGCCTTGAAGTCATGCTTGGGTGACAGACACAAGTAACAGGTTGTTTTTTTTTCTAAGAGGAAATGAAAATTGTATTTTTCCAATACAGCTGAAACCTATGCATTCTTGGAAATAAATTAATTTTAAGGTCACAATTCAAAAATTGATTGCAGTTCGCTTTTCCTGGATTTAGAATGCGATTTTGATAAGTGGATATTATCCTTGCACACATACATAATGTAATAATTCTAGTCTAATGATATTATTCAATGTTTGAAAATCTGTATAAAACGTAAATGTAAATTATTCTTTCACAAAACTAACGAATGAAGCATTAATTTGAAATGGGCATATTATATATATATATATATATATATTATGCCAAAATACCAGAGTATTGCTGTATGCAGTGACACCTTTTTTTTATTGGACTAACATAATATTTCAGAAAAAAGCTTTTAAGAGTTTTCCTCTCTTCTTCAGGTCTGAAGCAATACTGATCATTCTTTTTAATTTAAATCTAATTTTGAAAACTGCAGCTTTAAAAATATGTCATAAATAGCAGAAGATGTGCCTGGAAGTGAAAGGTTCAGGTTGGCTGAGAATAGCCAGAAAAAGTAAATAAACAGAGAAGAGTCTGGTACGTTTCCTGATTTACTCGTTGCATACGTTACATCGTAGATAGAGCCTCTCTAAGCCACTTGGTACCTAGCAGGGTCTCACTTTCCCCTGAACAGCTAATCTTTTGCTGCCTGGCAATAGTTAGAAAGACAGTTTCACCTTAACAAGAAGGGGGCATGAGTTCTAATTATACGTTTTTCATTTAAATGTTATTACTTACATGTCTTTATTTATAGTATGTCACATGCTTTGGTACAAGGGGGCAAACTATCTCTACTTAGCACTCCTGCTTGACCTTATCAGACACACTACCCCTGCCAAGAATAAAGACCTGGCTATGTCTGGTTCACTTAGATCATGGTCAGTTACGAAAATCGGTGCTGAACTAAGATGTAGTGGCATTCCTTTCACATCTACAGCAAGGAAAGTAGAACTCTATCAACTGATGACATTCCAAACACCACAAGGTCAGGCACCAATACTCAAGGTGACAACACAGAGAGGATTTTATCACTCTCCAGAGACCTTATCTGCTCTTCATCACAACACAGGAAAGAACTCTAGTTCTACGTACACAAATATGGGGGGTTAACATTCTACAACTATCATAAATTTTTTTCAGCTAAGCCCGTTGCAGCTGTAGCTCAGTTCAATATTTGTACAGATTGATGTCAACTAGATATTGAGTTATTCACTAATTTAGGCCCAAATGAGGCAGACTCACACAGCCAGGTTTCAATTTTCTCCCATAAAGATCTTAAGACAAACTAGCAGGCCCATTATGTTTCTAGGAAAGCTCAGGTCTGTTCTAACTTTAATGCTGGCAGCCATGGTTTTAATGCATGTATATTGTTACACGTATGTTAATAGTGTTTTAGAGCCATGTGCCCTAATCGTTTGTTTCCTAAACAATGACAAACAAAATAAATATTGACAACTTGGCCTTCTGCCTGGATTCTCACCTCTCTAATTATTTAGTGAATTTTCTTATCACAGGTTTTCCACAAGGGTTCTTCACTGGGCTCGTATCACTACCCACAGGTACACTGCAATGTATACATTTGCAATTCGCTTTACACGATGACCACACATTACTCCAGAAAGAAATCAGCAACGGTTTTACACTGAGTTTTTGCAGTCATCTCTCCATTTCATAGGCAAATATAGTGGCAAAAAAGAATGATTATAGACTTAATAGTTCCGCATGTAGTAGCCACAACTAGCATTAATTCTTTAATTCTGTCTGTATAATTTTTCACTCCAGTATACAACCATGGACAATGCTATACAAGCAATTTCAGGGCTAATAGCAGCCCAAAACTATTCAATATTTTTCTGAATCCCTTTGGTGGATATTTTTACATAGAAAAGATCGTTGTGGGAGAACTCACCTTATGCTTGAAAAAGCCCCGAGAGGCGGGGCGAAACGCGTAGCACGACAAACCTGGAAGTATCTACACGAGTAGAGAGAGACGGTGATCAGCTTGGTAATACAGAGAGAATAGCGCAAGGACTGTATTTTCACTAATCCCCAGGATTTTGGTCTTCTACAGTACTGTGAGATTTATTTGATTAGTCTTTAGTATTTTTTACTGTTTAAGGAATAAAGTATGTTACTTCACGACTTCAGCTGATGGTGAGTTTGCTTAATTACCCACATTTGGATCCAATGATCACAAGGGTCTGAACCTCCCTAGGTCTGATAGTTTGCAGTGGTACTATAATCACTCCCGAATTGTGAGTTCAATTCATACAGAGTATTACATACAATACCTTATTTATTACTTTATTGCACTAGGTCTGTTTCTGATTTTATGTGTTTTAGATCATTGAGACCTACAACTAAGGGAGAGTGCAAGCATATATTTGTTTGCCACCTATCTTCTCCCACTATACTATAGTGTGGTTTTATTTTAGCTGTGAAGGTTTTTCTCACCCTTTTATAATTAAGTTTTTATTTATCATTGGGCGATCTGAATGCTTTTATTGTCACTTCTCTTACACTGTTATTTCGATGGTTATTTGTGCACCTACTACCTGGTTTTGTGTTTTTTGGGCATTTACTATATCAGAGTTCCTTGTATTTTGCTGCATGTATATCTGGTTTACATTTGGTTTGGGGTGGTAACATTTATATTTAAAATTATTTGTGCCATTCTATTCTGCTCATATTTTTGATACAATAACTAAGGCCTGCAAATTTCCATAGTATAATATTTTTTAAAAGTATACATCGAGTAGACCACCCAGTAACTTCTGAAAAGCAACCTATCAATGGGCTTAATTTCAGAGCGTTGTAGTCGGGGTTACGCTGTCTTTTTTAAACTTAGTCAACCCTCTTATCACGGCCGTTGCCATCCATTTCACAACACCCACAGCTCCCTTCTTGATCATATCACTACCCTTATTGCCCCTCTTTATTTACAGGCCTACCTGTACATTAGTTTCACCACACCACAACCTACTCTACAGCACAGCTTTTGTCCCCAGCCACAAACATATATATATATATATATATATATATATAAAAAACTTCAAAGGTCCTTGCACATAAACTCAAATATTTTGATCACCAGGTGCATAATAGCCAAATGCTAGTACATACAATTTGAATAGTAAGAGGCTTGCACTCACGTTTTTTGAAGTAATAAAAATTGTTCCTTTATTGCATATTCATTAAAATCTGATCGAGGTTTCAGCCCTCCATCTGTGGCTTTCTTCAGGATCAACAAATCCTGGAGGTGTGTGTATCATTTACCTTGGGAAGAGATAAAAGCAGTTTGCACTTTTGGAAGAAGGCATGCTCATATAATATATTTATTTAATTTATTTTAAAAGTAGGTATTCTAAAGTTCTAAAGCCTTTCCTTTGCAGTCAATCTGACACCTACAAGTAATAAAGAACCATACTCTATTTGTTCATAGCTTACTTCATTTGTGCAATTAAGTACTTCTAAGCACAATTCCTGAGCTTAGTAAATTAACTTATTGATACAGAATATATATAAAATAGCAGCACATAAAAGTGCTCAAACATATGATAATCAGGAACCCATAGGTATAGCAGTCTACTAATATAAAATGCTGAATTAGTAGACTGCTATACCTATGGGTTCCTGATTATCATATGTTTGAGCACTTTTATGTGCTGCTATTTTATATATATTCTGTATCAATAAATTACTATTTTTTATCCAGCTATTGGGATATATTTAAGTACATGGTTCTTTCCTATACATATACCTATTTAGTGACTGTGGCGCCCTGTTAGTTTGTATATATCTGTTGTTTTTCATTGGACTTGGAGTATCCATTTTACAGAGGCTTGCCTGCACTTGGGTTATAATCAGTTTCTATTGTATATTCACCCACCTTCTTACCTCTTAGTAAATTAACTTTTCTGTCTTGTCCAAGATGTTGCCTTTCTTCTCTACTCCTTGTCGGAGTAGGTTTTAAAAGTATTTGTATTGGGTTTCAAACTCTGACGTGTTAGACTATTTATTCATGGATTCAACAAAAAAAGTCTAATTCACAGAACAGATTATGCAGTTAAACAATCATGACAGTGCACTATTTATTACAAAGTTTTAGATGCTGCGCATGTTTATACACTTTGTGCCTTTCAGACATTTTGTTGCCTGCTTATGATTTTGATGATCTACTATGACATTTCACACATGAGACGTATGCTTACTCAGAATGAATCAATGTAACCAAACAATTATTTTCTTCAGTATAGAAAATCTGCCCCAAGAGGACATGTGATGTCCTGGCTCATCATAAAAGGTATACACACAGTAACCAGCATACAAATAATGATACTATCTATTCTAGAACTGTGCAAGCTAAACTGTTGAAATATCCAACTGAGCCTACTGTAATGGTTGTATTTTATGATACTAGGACGTTACGGGTTCAGTCCTGTTATGGTTTTCTTTCCCAAAATATTATTGGGTTCCCTGGTTCCTGAAGCCCACCCTGTATTTTTTCCTCCTTTGATCCCATTTTTTTCACAAATACTTCACAAAACATAAAGTACCTTTATTATAGCATAATAGGTACCAGAGAGCCTTCTTGCTTTTGTCAAACTACTTGAAAATGGATTTATAACTCAACCTGTAACTATACACTGTAGTCATTGTGTGCTTGGATTGTCCTGAAAGAAATACACACGTGCTTTAGCAAAAACTTATTTAATTCATAAACAAATTTTTTTGTGAAAATGAAAATCCTTTTAATCCACATCCGAACAAAATAAGTTATTCCCTGATGATTAGATGCATTCGGTGTGGATTTGGATTTGTGTGTAATACTAATAATCTGTTAATGGACAAAGCTAATTTTTACACAAGTCTGGAAAATTACTATTTTGCTTTCCAGCATTTAGAAACCATTGTGTTTAACAAAATCATGTTTTACTCCATTGCCCCATTGCGACAATTTACTAGTTTACTTCTCTCACTTAAATAATAATAAAAATAAACTATTTAACCAGGAAAGGTACAATCAGATATTCTCTGGTTTCCAAATATATCGTGGAATTTTTATTTGTACGATTAGATGACTTAGTAATGGTAGAATAAACACATTACAATGAACTTTGGAAACATTTCATCAAACAATATCTCTATATGAAATATAAAAATATCCTTTGGATTTTGGGAATTTTGATGAAAAATCAGATATTGATGAAAATGTAGAGTCTCTTAATATAATATATAATTGTGTTTGATAAATTGAAATTCAAAATATAGCATATAAAGCCCTATTTATCTTCCCCGTTTCTCCATTGATCCAGCTTTGCAGGAAAACAAATTTAAATTAAATTTAAATGGTAGCATCCTAACATTAATTTTCTCCTTTGTGAACGATAATTGTTCGTGGTGGAATACAATAAATATTTGGTCATTTAATTACATCTAACTCACTATTATTATTAGTAGCAGTTTTATATTTTAAGGATCCATTCATTTTTGTCTTGAAGAATAAATGAATAACACAGAAACAGTGTGAACTCTTGGTTTACTTTATTACTGAAAAAGTATTATTGCGTTGAACTACACATAAACTCAACTTTAAAAAGATCCACTTCTTGTGCAACAAGAAGTTATAGTTTATTTAAACACTTTATTATGTACAATATTTTATACTGAACAATGAAATACAAATTTTTTTTTTTTTTTTTTATAAATGCATGTAATGGGACAATCAGATAAAGAGTCTTGAATTTTTTTTCTGCGCATTTTGTCATCATGTAAACATGCATATACATCGCTGTATATTTTATGTTGTCTTTCAAGATTTGGAACTCTACAGGATAAGTTTTTAATCAGCTAAACTTTTATTCTATTGACATTTATGCACAGCAGGATTTTATATTTGTCCACAGATAGCTAAATAATATATTTTGTTTAATACTATATAGTTCCAGACCACTAGACGGACTCTATTTTGCACTGTGCTGAGGTTTTGCTCTACTGGACATTTTTGTTATTTAGCTCTATGATAAAATAACTGTTGCTGTTGCCATGTGAAAACATTTTAATGTAATGTAGCGTCCAGGGAAATTTCTAAACAATATTTTTATTTTGTTTTGTTTTATGTATGTTGTACTTGCCATTTTATGTCTTTGTTCTGTAATACCTGAATACATATACCGCTGGCTAAATTATAACTAAATTATAACTATTTTTTACAGCTAAGCAATTGTATAAAATTTTATTGTTTTAGTAGAAAGAAATAAAAACAAAGATAAACAGTGTGCATGAAAACATCATTCAAATGTTTCAGTGTATTCATTCTGGTAGCTGATAGCTGATTGTAGAAGCTTTTTTAACATAATGTAGCCTGCGCTTAATGCAGTGATAGTAATTTTCTCTTGTGTTCAGTAATTTTTAAAATACTACTGTTGTATAACCCTTTTTTGATCAGGGGTTAGACGAGTCTGTTCTACTATATCATTTATGTTATAGAACCTTAAGTAGGGAATACCATCATTATGAGCCCTATTATGAGCATTGTGAATATCTTTGCTATCTTGCACTAAACTGGTGTTTTCATCTTAAACAATCTTAGAAGTCAAGCCTTAAATAATGTTAATGCATTGAGTGATTTTCAACAATTAAGAATTCCCCTAATGTTACTTCTGGGTATAAATGCAATACAATGAAGCATATAAAATATGTAATGGCAGACATGGGCGCTAACAACACAAGTAAAAAATACACATAATCATTAGGTATGAGTTGCTGTATTCCACTCGCAGTTGTGTTGAAACAGAAATAGGAAAAATGCTTATATAAGCGCAAAAGAGAGAAAAACCATCACAAAACCCACTGCAGATCTTTAATATTCATTAGGGATGACTGTATTTCTCTATAGCACAAGAACTGTCTACATGTACATAAATGTATGTATTTATAACATTTACATATAATTTCTACTATATGATATATAATATAAATAATCAAATTTAGAAAAGAAGGAATTGTGGGGGGAAAAAAACATAAAAAGAAGAAAAAACTAAATATGTACTTTAGTAAAATAATTCAGGCACACAACCAGATTGTTAGGTGTTCAGTTAGTGTTACAATTAAGTTTAAATGAGTTAATGAAACACATTAAGTTTGCAATGTTTGCTGCTTCTGGTCTTTTTTGTACCCAAAAAAGGAGACGTGCAATGACCGGAGAAACTGGAAAAAATAATTAGAATATATTGCCTCCAGAGTGCATGCCTAAGATACCAACAGGGTTATCCAGTAAATGCAAAATCAATCGAATTAAAATGTAAATGACAAAACTGAGACATGAATAAGCGGATCTAGAAATAATTTATTTAGTTTAGATTTGAGTTTCGTGGATAACGTTATCAATATTTGCCCATTTGTTCATTTTATTTATTTGTTTAGCATTTTTTGCGATTTTAAGTATATACCCAAGTGCAAGTCGCTGCCTAAGTTGCTCCTCAAGTTAATATTCACCGATCTTAAAAAGATTTGTTAACACCTTGTTGTCCACTTATGATAACACTTATAAGAGTGGCAAATTCCTATTAAAGTATAATATTTATTTGGAACACGTAATGCATGTATAGCACAACAAAATTAGGATGGCTAGCACACACATTTTGCACATGGATTATTTAATGTAAAATTAGACACATTTAAATTGTTAGTATATGTAGTTATCCTTTACATGGTATGATAAATGTTTTAGAAATTATTTGGTATTCCTTATTTTGTTTTACACCACTGATGACATGAATAATATTTATTCACATAGATTAAGTGGAAACTATAGAAACGGGCTCTTCAAGTTATTTAATATGCTTAATCCCTTTACCATGAGCGCTGTGTGAAAAATATTAGCATAAGATATTTTTGAATCATTGTTTGAAGCAATTTTCTGTATAGATTGCTGTGTAGACAAACTTAAAAAGTAAAATTATGTAAATTTTTATTTTTCACTTCTTCACCCATCCTTTATAACAATACTGTGGGAATTAAAAGATCTAAACGGTATACAGTGTCCTTTATCTTGCAATATTTCAGTCAGACTTATTCAGACAAAAATGCTATTTTTCTCACATACAGTTGATGTGACAAAAACAGATAAAGAAAAGATCAAATAGTTATAGCTATTTGCAAGGACCCTGAAGGCATTAGTAGCAGTATAGCTTACTAACAATGTCAAAAGCATGTAAAAAGAATCTGTCATACAGTAAATATAGTTAAATAATACTTATCAAAACAAAAGGTATTTAAAATTGCTACAGCAATCTTTATCAACCTCTGAAATGCTAATGGAATGCTGACAGTGTAATGGTTGAGTCCATTCACTCCACCCATCTCCTTGACTATAGAAATTACATGACCCATTGAAACTTCCTGTACTGTTTGAAAGCTGAGCATGAACTTTTATTTTCAGCAAATTTACATGCATTATAACAGTGACTAATGTCTTCTGGCAGAGAAACATGTTCCTCAGGCTGGAAATCATAACTAGAGAATAAATTAGGGTTAATGAGGCATTATAGACCAGATTTTATACTGCTAAATATAAGAAAATAAACAAATAAAATAAACTTTACCATCAATTAAGGAAGCACTGATTTCAGTGCTCGATAACAAAAGGTATGAACTGGCGTAGCGGCAACACTCACCTCAAAACTAAAGAGTTTCTCCTGTAGACAATTCCACACACCCTGTTACATATTGATATACAATATATTTAGACATACAATTGGTTATATTACTCTCTGTATTATATTTTGACTGGAAAACAAAATCCACTATTTTATTATTGTACATTTGGATAGTATCTATCCCCTCCCTTTTTTTGTTTCTTTTTGATCATTATTTTTTCCTTTCCCTTCTTATTTCTACTCATTTCTATTGTTAAATGTTGATTTATTTATCCACCAAATTGATGTAAAATATGTTTTTTTTAAAATACTGTTCAATAAAAATAGTTTGAAAAGAAAATAAACAAATCTAAACTTGTTAATGAAAATAAGTGCACACCAATAATGCTTTTCTCCTCACATGTGACAAAAATATCAAAAGAATTCATAAAATATAATTTTTTGGCATTAGTAAGAAACATTCTTGCATTTGAAAAAATACCTATTCTCAACATGCCATCCTAATATAAACATTCTGACTTTGATGGCACAACCCCAACATAAAACACAATTGGCTATAACCAGGCATCTGTACTATACACACAAAACAATGAAAACTGCTGTTGCAGGTAAAACCTCCAGATTGTATCCATAGCCATTAATTCCTTCTCCTTGACTGCTAAAATATAGCCTTGTCCTTTTGAGGCTCTACATGGGTAGGAGAGTAGGTAGAAGAGGTAGAAGAAGCTCAGCAATTCTATACGGCGTAGAAAGACAATTTGACACCTCAGTGGGGCAAAGGAGATGGTATGTTGTTTTTTTTTTTTTTTTATATTTGTTTTCATTTTTAAAATGAGAACAAGCAGATGTAAAGATGAGGTTGGGAGGGAAGGTGTTAAGAGAAGAGGACTAGATGGAATGTGGGCTGTTAATATTGCTCAATAAAAATGCAAAATACATACTAAAGATTTAAATTCTCCATCAAGAATCGAACACAAGCTTTAGCCTATCAATGCCCAAGAAATAAATATATAAATAATATATCTATTGTATGTCTGAATACATATTAAATATTTCTGAAGGTTATATTGAGAATCCAAATATCAGCTGAAGATTGAAATATCAGCCAAAATGTCACAATTTCCCCTGTCTACCCTGTTGCTGCCATTAGCAGGAGTCCTTGACATGTGTATATGCATTTTTGCAGGGTAATAATATTCAATATGCAGGAATGACAATTAAACCACAAATGGCACAGTGAATCAAAGAAAAGCATTAATTATATTGTATACATTTAACTATCAAAGTTTAGAAATAAAGTCTCATGATTAAAAACCATATAAACCAAATTTATACTGCATTCTTTAACCCCTTAAAGACCAAAATTCTGGAATAAAAGGGAATTGTGACATGTCACACATGTCATGTGTCCTTAAGGGGTTAAACTAAATTGGCTAGTATAACAAAATTGAGAAATGATTATTTATTCACATTAGAGAACAACACAAGAATTCAGATTAAATAAGGAAATACAACTGACCTTTTACAGTTCAGTACTTGAAATAGATTTTCCTGAATATCTGTAAGGGTCAACCCTATTTCCTACAAAAGTGTGGGAAATTTTGTTTCCTGCAGAAACTTTCACAAAAATAAAACTGATCAAATGTGCCTATTTTTTTTATTTATTTGTACTTTACTTTTCAACTGACACTGTTCAAATCCTGATACAAAACTAACTGGCCAAAAGTTAGTTTCCTACAAAACAAACATTTGCAAATACATTTTTAAATAAATTAATAATGAAGAAAATACTATTAAAATTCCTTCATCCAGAGTACATAATTACCCAAAGATGTTTTCAGGTTTCCTCAAGAGAAGGAAATTGTTAATTTATATACTTGAACCAGATAAAATGTGATATGTAAACATAAGGGATATCCCTCACAAGTCAAGAGTCATAGTGTCATATGACTCAAATGATAAATGCCTGTGGACACTTATAGGATGTACAATTCCTTCTTCAAGTTGTCTCCCTAAAGTATACACTATTGGACCTTCAGGGTGGTTGGTATTTCCCAAGCTCTAATGTCCCAGAGGTGTACACGCAGGATACTAAGAGTGGGTCTTCCAAAATGATGTTTTATTTAATAAAATTCACAAAATAAAATTGTTAAAAACAAATAAAAGTACCAGGTTAGATATCTCTGGGTGTAGTTCAATATAATGTCCAAAATGCATTTCAACCGTAAAATGGGCTTCCTCAGTTGGCTGTATTCTGTCTCCTTGTCTATCTTCTTTTTTAAATATCCTGCTTGTCTTGTTCTTCCGGTTTCCGGTTTCGGCTTGTTGGAACGCAACGTGCGTTCCAGCGTCTTGCATCATTACGCTACTATTTCTGGTTCATCCAAGGTTGAACCGCGCATGTGTTCTGGCTTATTGGCATGCAAAAAACTTTATTCCACTAAGTAACATAGATTCTGATAATTGTAAATATAATTTTGAAAAAGCCCTTATTAAAGAGAAGAAGATTAAATGGGAAGTGGCCACTTTAAAAAAATATGTTAGAGAACAAATTATGGACAGAACACCCAATATAATCTGCAATCTGTAAGGAATCAAATATATATATATATTAGATATATTCTCCTAGACATAAGCCACAATACCAAAAATGGAAAGATCAAGACAGATCTCACCTCACTGTAGATAATTTTCCTAAGTAGAAAAAAAAAGCTATAGGCAGTACCACAGAACCCCCCAAGATCGGAAAGGGATACAAGAAAGACGGTACACAATGAACATGGAGAACATAGAAGAGAAAGAGAAAGATCTCCAATTTCACATGGGAATAGATTTGAGATACTGGAAAAACTGCCCCATATATCCGACCAGGAGCGAACATCTTTTTTTTGGAAGGACCCAACCATAGAAAGATTGAAATGACCACAACCAACACAGACATGGGATTCCCCGGGCAAACGCCGGAGATCAATAACCGAAGAAAGAGAAATAGAGGAAGAAGGGTCAAGAAACAGAGAGAAGAGGGGAAAGAGATCAATTTAGAAGGAATTTTTAATTTGACAGGACAATAACTAGCTATGGGTAAAATACAAGTCCTACAAAAAGGTTTAAAATTTGCCCCTACTGCCAATTTAAACAAATTTGATTTCTTCATAGATATAAACAAATTCATTAGCCATCTCTGTTTAAAAATGTTTTTGTTTTTTGTTTTTTAATAAAGAGGACAGCATAAATGAAGAACCAGTATCTGAATATATACATACAGACCTAAAAGTAAAATCAAAATTTTTCCCCAAGCACCTCCTCTCTGATGAAATAAAATAATTTGAGCTAATGGTTACAAAGGAAATAAAAAGTATTAAACATTTAAATAAACATCAGCAAAATATGTCAATGAGGGAAAAAAGAGAAGTGAAGGATCTTAAAGAAAATAAAAAAATAATTATTAAACCAGCAGACAAAGGGGGAGGAATAGTAGTCATACTAAAAGAAAACTACACACAGGAAGCAGAGAGAATCCTCTCAGACCAACTCATATACCAGAAATTATATTAAGAAGGGGCTTGAAAAAGGAATTTTAACAACAAATGAAGCCAAATATTTATCTACTCCACATCCAAGAACGCCAGTCTATTATCACCTCCCTAAAGTACATAAGAATAAGGAAAATCCACCAGGCAGACCCATCATATCGAGCATAGACTCGATTTCAGCCATAGTATCCGAATATTTAGATAACTTGCTGCAACCAGTGGTAGTACGCAACCCAGCTTATTTGAAGGATACCATACACATTTTAAAACTTATAGAAGAATCTACATGGAAAGAAGGGAGTTTACTGGTTACATGTAATGTGGCATCGCTTTACAGCATCATACCACATGAAATAGGTCTAAAAGCAGTCCAGCACTTTTTAAGAAAATCTAATTTTAAAGATGAACAAGTTAAATACATTTTAGAGGGAATTCACCTAATTTTAACTACCAATTTCTTTTGGTTTCAGGACAGATTTTATTTACAAGTCAGGGGAACGGCGATGGGCACCAAGTTCGCTCCAAGTTACGCCAATTTGTTTATGACCTATTGTCTATCAAGGACACCCATGGGGAGCAAGCTTGGTGTGTTATTGCCGTTTCATTGACGATATATTTTTTTTTTTGGACAGACACAGACTTAGACTTAGACACCTTTTTTATATACCTGAATAATAATTATTGGAATAATGTTTTATCCTCACAAAAAAGCATTGAAGAAATCAGTTTCCTAGATCTAAACATTAGTGTAAAGGAATCATGCATTACTATTAAAAGCCACTTTAAGGAAGCGGATGCGAATGGATACATCAGAAAGGAAAGTTGCCATCATACACCTTGGCTCACTAATGCCCCTAGAGGGCAATTCTTAAGAATGAGATGGAATTGTTCAGAGGACCAGGATTACTTAATAC